AAAGGAAATCAGTAATGTTAAATATTTTAATAATTATTGGATGTAATACTCTTAACAAGTGGCTTTAGATGTAAAGATCAAATAACATTAAGAGGTTATGGTCTTACAACGTGCAGTGGGTAGCTGGCTAGCGTATCTCAATGAGCAAGAGTCTGGATATTTTGTGACTGAAAAGTCCTTGAATCTTAGCTTTCCTCACAGTACATTCTCTTTAATACATTCTCCCTCTCTCAACATTAAAATTCCCTCCATAATCCTACTGACACCACCCAAGTCCTTGCCCTAAAACCACTCATCTGCTCATCTGTCTATTTTGCAAAACTCTAGTTACTATCCCCCCATCCATTATACTCTTATTACCTAGACACTGCTGCCAGATGATTATTCCTAAACTGAAGTCTAATTAAATAATATCCTGGTTCAATAGCTTTTTAGTTTATTGTCATTACTACAAGATTATATAACTACATAGCATATACATACATATGGATATGTTTATTTGTTCACATGTATGTATAGATTTATGATGTGCAGATATGTGTGACACTATACATATATATAGAATATGACATACAGGTGGTTCCCGGGTTACACACACCCACCTTACAGTGTTCCATACTTATGAACAGGCTCCCAAGGTTCCCATAAGGATTATTTATAATGAAGTAACTAAATTAATGTTTTAGGAACTTATTTCTTCCACCCATATAAACAAATGCCCATGGCATAAGTGGTTTGTTGGTGCAGCACTTTTACACTAATAGCTGGCCTCATTGTTTGTAATACAGCCACCTAAGTATAGCATCACTTTTGTCTTAACCTTTTATTCAATTTTGTGAGTCCGTGTTTACCCTTATGACCATGCCTCCAAAGTGAAAGTCCACTGCCAAGTCCAGGAGAGCCTGGAGTGAATAGAAAGGTGATTACACTGGAAATGAAAGTAGAAATAATTAAGTGTTCAGGGAAAGGCCAGATGGCATCATTCCCTGAGAAGGCATTACGCTTCAGTTGCTGGAACAATTATAAAGGGTAAAATAAGAATAATAGAAAGACAATGTTCCTATAAAAGTATCAATTATTACTATGGAGTGTAGTTCATTATTGAAATGGAAAGGTAAAAATTATTGATTGGGTTAGAATACCAAAATAAGCATAATATTCCGATTAGCCTGGGAATTAAAAGAAAGAATATAATAGTTTTCATAACATTATTACAATACAAGGGTATAATTTTTAAGTGTTGTTTTGTTAAAGTATTACATTATATTATTATTATCACCACATATTAGCCACTATAGAAATACTATTATTATTATTATTATTATTATTGTATTTTCCTCATTCATCAGAGTTTCAAGTTATAAATAAATCTGACCTAAAGACGTTCTTGGGAACATACCTCATCTGTAACCTGGGGACTGCCTATATAAATATGCAATGATATATTCATATGTTATATGTATCATATTCTTGATTTATATTTACTCATCCTGAATTATTTGAGGTCCTTTCCAAACATTACTTGGTTTGACTCTGCAGATCCCTCCTCTATAATTCTCCTAATGGAACTTGTGTTATAGTCAAAATGCAAGTGCTCATTTTGGCTGCTCTGTACCCTTTCAGGTGCTTGCTTTTGCTCGTTCAGGTCTCTCCATAGAGAAGCCTACACTTCTCCAACTCTCCTCTAAACCATGAACAACTGACATGATATTTTTTCTTTAAGGTATATTTGAAATGTTATCCCTTCCATGAAGCTTTTCAAGATTGACTGGAAGAGGACAGGAACACTCATTTGAGACAATTAGCAGTTTATTTATGTTTCTTAAACTGCACTTGGTCCTATATGTGTGTAACACTTAATTTTGGTCTTAAAACTCTTTAGATTACAGATCCAAAGTCGTACTATTTATCTTTTGCAATGGGGAGCATAGTGACTTAAAAATATGAGGCCCAAAATAAAGTACTTGTGAAATTATAAAATCAGACAGCACTTGACAGCACAAACACATAGACTACAGGAGGGGTGAGTCACTTTTTTCATGGGGAAATGAGTCCATAGAGATGAATGGACCTGGGATGGCTGCTGCATGTCAAGACACCTTAATTTTCTTTCATGACAAAGGAAAGCATTATACACTTAAAGTGAATTATTTTTGTTCTTACACTAGGATTGGCTCTTTGTACAGACTATGGTAAAATATCATAGAAAAGGTATTAATTCTTAAGGATTAAAAAACACAAAACATAATTTTTTTTTTAAATTTATCATTTTGTATTAGCAGAGGTGCATTCACAAGATTAGACTAGATCATTTGACCTCTGGAAAGATACTTCAGGAAACACAATGGACCAGGGTCCCACTGCTTTTACTTTTTCTCCCTAGAGAATTCATGTTATTGCATGTGCCTATAGTTTGTTGATTTTTATTGCTATATAATATTCCCATTGTACTGATGATTTTCTATCAATTATCCAGATTTTTATTAGTTTAATCACTGTTATAACCCAAAGACTAGTTGGGAATATCAATCTCTGGCATCTACTTTATTTGCCATTTTAAGGGTCCTTTCCCCTGGTTTGTTTTTTTCTAGAATGAGAGAGTAGATATCAAACCATGAGTTTGTGGGCAGAGGTACATTACCTGTCAAGTCAGACCTTAGGCTGGGTGAGTATGGAACATGTAATTGGGGGCTCTCGAGAATTCAGACTTCCTCTGAAGCCTTGCCTTGTACATTCACAGAGTGATTGAAAAATATCACTCTGGTGTGTCCTTGAGTACATTCCCAATTACTTTATGCCTTCCAGAAATTCATTAAAATCACTGGTCCAGGTCAGGTGCAGTGACTCTTGCTGGAGCATTAGCAATCTGGGAGGCGAAGGCAGATAGACTGACTGAACTCAGGAGACAGAAACCAGCTTGAGCAAGAACAAGACCCCATCTCTACTACAAATACAAAAAGTAGCAGACCATGGTGGCACACACCTGTAAGTCTCAGCTACTCTGGAGTCTGAGGCAAGAAAATTGTTTGAGCCCAAGAGGTTGAGGTTGCTATGAAGCTGGGGCATCTACTCAGGGTGACAGAGTGAGATTGTGTCAAAAAAAAAAAAAATCACTGGTCCATTGATGTGACCCCATTCTCACTTCTATTACAGTTTTCATTTTGTACACTGTTTTTGTCTGCAGTGGGATGTTGGGAAATAGATGACATATACAACATGTTTGGACAAGATGTTCTTCTGATCCTTTTTGAAAGGAAACTGAAAAACATATATATAGCTGTAAAGAATAATAATAATTTCGTACATTTTCCTAGAACATTGCTCATGCTAAATTGAAAGTTCTTCTTGACAATATTAATAACATAATGGAAGTACTCTTTGTTATGAAAGTATAGTCATTACTTAACTTTGACATTTTAAAGAATTTCTTATATATATATATCAAAAAAGTGATATATACGTATATATATATGCACTTTTTCTCATCATCTTACAATGCCCTCTACTGTTCATGAGATTGATGATAAAATTATCCTAGACTATGTTCAAAGAACCAACAGAATTAGGATTTAGATAAAAATAAAACTGCAATCAAAACTGCAATCACAACTACAACAGCATTGTTCAGAGTCTAGGTGTAGACTTTCCACCCTCTGGAAAGGTTTTTGTTTTCTTCCCTGTTTTGACTGTTAAATGTACAATTCAACAGGATGTCTGTTTCAGAGGATGAAGTATTATGGATTTTTGAGACTTTTTCTTGTGCCTGTGATGATAGCCAATGAAAACTCTATTGCCTCATTTCACTAGGGTTAACAGGAGTGACTTATGTTTATTACTGTCTGGATCAATCTTTGGCATGTTGTTCTCAAAAAACAAATTCCACGTATATGATGTGCACTTACTGTAATAATATGATGTTTCCCTCTTCTGAGAAAGTACCTTTTAAATGAAGCTTATTTGAGGGCAATACCTAACAGTCACAGGATACCATCCCCTTTTGTCCCTCAAGGGAGTTTGCACAGCTGCTTAGACCTGATCTAGGGACTTCTATTCTGAGTCTCACTCCAAACTAGTAGTTTTATGGCTCATTGCTAAATCGACCAGAGTAGTACATCCTAATAAGGAGTACATTGTCTCCAAAATCTCAACAGTCCATTAGGCTTTGTTGCTTCTTTCCAGCTTGTAGGACGTGCAACATGTCTTAGCAGGATTAGCTCCATATGACCTATACCAATGGACTTGTAG